ATCTATCTATCTATCTATCTATCTATCTATCTATCTATCTATCTATCTATCTATCTATCTATCATCTATCTACACTCCTTATATGCAGTAGGAAAAAGATACACATTCTTACTTTTACTAAATTATTGTTGAAAAGTCCCCTATAAACCACATCCAGAGATGAATGTATCAGATAAAGCAATGCTTGTATATGGGTGTGAGCACATATACACGCCCACATATTCCTACTTACAGTATTTTAAACCATCTAACAAAATATATTAAGCCTCCTATACCAGGATTATTATTATTATTATTATTTTTAAAAAAGTCTCCTAGGAGAATGATTAAGAGATGGACGTGCCAGTTAAAGCAATGGGCAATTCCCACCTACCCGCCAGGCTGCTTGAGGAATTCTGCAGGCATTTCTCTTGATTAATTTCACTTACCAGTCACAAAAACTATGCTGCAAAAAATGATCCCAATTCCATAGAACATCCAAGAAGTTCTCATCTTTAAGTCGTGTGTTCTGGTGTTCCCTGCTGTGGGCTCCTCAACAAGGAAGGTGCGTGTGGAAGTGTTATGCACCAGGGTTTATTTTTCCTCCCTGAAAGATCCAGGCAAGATGCACTGAAGGCTGTGACCAGATACTGTGAAACCACAAGTGATTGTCGGTTTACTCATCAAAGAGAAAACCTCCCCATTCTTTGAAAGCTTGACTAGATGGGAGCGTTTTTTCTCTTCTTTACTTTATTAAGGTGTACATTCATATTGATAGTATTGGGGATGGAGAGGTAGACTCATAGTATAAAGATATGCAACATATCTTTATAATTTATATTGTTTTATTTGTTTCATAATATGATATGATTGCTTATTAGTAACCTATGACTATCACTAAGTGTTATATCTTATGATTCTTGATGAATGTATTTTATTTTTTCTTTACGTACACTGAGAACATTTGCACCAAATTCCTTGTGGGTCCAATCACACTTGTCCAATAAAGAATCCTATCCTATCCTATCCTATCTTATTCTATCCCATCCTAGCCCATCCCATCCCATCCTATTCTAAAATGTGTGAGGATACAAACATGCTTTGAGCAAGTTGTGATGTTCTGGCAGAGTGTTTTTTCAAACTTGGCAGCTTTAAGAGGTGTGGACTTCAACTCCCAGAATTCCCCAGCCAGCATGCTGGCTAGGGAATTCTGAATGTTGAAGTCCACACTTCTTAAAGTTACCAGGTTTGAAAAACAGCTGCTTTGGAACTTAATAAATTAATGTTATCTAGTACAGGTAGTCCTCAACTTACAGCAGTTCATTTAGTGACCGTTCAAAGTTGTAACGGCACTGAAAAAAGTGACTGGTGACCGTCATTCGAGCTTACGATCATTGCAGAATCCCCATGGTCACATGATCAAAACTCAGAGGCTTGGCAACTGCCTCATAGTTATGACGGTTGCAGCGTCCTGCGGTCAATGCATTATCTCTTGCAACCTTCTGACAAACAGATTCTCTTAACAACCGTGTTACTGACTTAACAAGTGCACTGATTCACTTAACAACTGAGGCAAAAAAGTCATAAAATGGGGCAAACTTACTTAACAAATGTTTCACTTAGCAACATAAAGTTTGGGCTCAATTGTGATCATAACTCGAGGACTGTCTGTACTGCAATACAACTGGGAATTTAATCTTTTCTGGAATAGATGCTATCCCTAAGAGGCCACTGGGGCATAAATAGAATAATACCTAGTATAGAATTTGATTTATATAGTTCTCAGCCAATATAAAAAGACACTGATTTCCAGTGGGATAATTAATAATGCCTGTTATAGTTATTGATAGTTCCATTATTCTTTTATTGCAAAAAACCACAAACTGCTTGCGTTGTCTTAAAAACTTTTTTTAAAAAACTTCATGGTGATAAATGATTATTAGGTGAAGGTTTTCTTAAATCACTGTCTGCTTCTATAGCCCCTTGTAGAAGGGATGACATGATAGCAGTCAATTCCAATATCTGAGGGACTGCCACAAAGAAGAGAGAATTGGCCAACTTATTCTCCAAAGCACCTGAGGGCAGGACGAGAAGCAATGGATGCAAACTAGGCAAGGAGAGAAGTAAAGCTGAGGTAAACCTGGAAGTAAAGATAAATTTCCCGTCCGTGAGAACAATAAATCAGTGGAATGAGTTGCCTTCGGAGGTTTTTTTTTAGAAGAGATTGAACAAACATTTGTCTGGAATGGTATAGGGGCAGCGGCGGCTAACTTTTTGGGCTCCCGTGCTGAAAATGAAGGAAATGTATGTGCGCCCCTCCACGCCCTCTGTGTGTGTGTGCCTGTGTGCCCTCCGACACCCTGTGTATGTGTGCCCGTGCACCCCACAACACCCTCTGTGTGTGTGCACCCGTGTGCCCCCCAATGCCCTCTGTGTGTACACCCATGCGCCCCCCATGCCCTCTGTGTGTGTGCGCCTGACCCCCCCCCATGGGCCACATGTCTCTGCGCATGCGCGTGTGACCTCCCATGAATCTCTGCACACGTACGCACATCTCCCGTGTCCCCTGCCCCCCGCACCTGCGTGCCAGGTGCCCGACAATCAGCTGTCGGGCAGGCGGCGCACACACATGCGCAGTGTGTGTGTGTGTGTGTGTGTGTGTGTAGGGGAAGAAAAATTGAGGGGGGGGGAAGATGGCAGTTACGTGGGAACTGTGACCACAAATGAAGGTAGTTGGGACACAGATATTCTTGCATTGAGTAGCAAATTCACATGAATCCTGTGGTGAGGATTTTTTTTTAAAAAAAATCCCCATGCAGTGGTTTTATTTTTATTAGAATAAAATGTTGCAGATGGTATGAGACAGTAATTTCTACCTAGATTTCAAGCCGTCTTTTCCAGTCCTTCAGCTCTCGGGTTCTGCCCTTAACTGCCTTCAAGCACACGTGAAAAAACACCCACTTTCTGACCACGGTTTGATTTTTAAAGTATAAAGTTTCAGTTCCTTGGTTGAGTCCGTAAACCAAAAAGATGGGCTATTTTGCGGAGGATGCCCTCAACTGAATTTTCAAACCAAGACTTTGAAGTAATATATTATTAGCATCAGGTGGGATGTCTTGGCCCCTTCTTCAGAAAATGCCAGTGGGACACAAGTACTTCAGCTACCCATGATTAACCTCAACTGGATCCAACGTAAGAGTACAAAGCAAGTCTTAAGTGACAAAGAAAGATATGATGATTAGGTTTGTATTAGGTTTCGAAGCAGCCAGTGGGATCCTACTTGTCCCACTGCAGGTTCGGTGATCGCATACGTGTGCATGTGCGCCTAATGCATGTGCACCTAATGCGCATGCTCAGCTTTTCCCGCACCAGATGAGACCTACAGCGCCAATCAGCTGAGAGAATAAAGGAGAGAAAAGCACAGGGGCAGGGTGGAGGGCCGATCCTGGGCTTTTCTCTCCTTTCTTCCTCCTCTCAGCTGATTGTTGGAGGCTTTTGTTTTTTGACTATCGGTTCAGGTGAACCAGTCCAAACCGGTAGCATACCACCACTGAGCCACAGAGCAGAGTGGGTGTGACGTGGACAGAAGCTGCAGATCTCAGGGGGAAAAGAGTTTAAAATATAGGAAGTCCTGAGGGGGAAAAGAGTTTAAAATATTGGAAGTCCTGAGGGGGAAAAGAGTTTAAAATATAGGAAGTCCTGAGGGGGAAAGGAGTTTAAAATATAGGAAGTCCTCAACTGATGACCACAATTGAACCCAAAATTTTAGTTGCTAAGCAAGACAATTGTTAAACAAGTTTTGCCCCATGTTACGAACATGGGGTCAGCACATAACTCCCACATGGCTCTGGCCCCATCTCTGCATTGGATGCAGGACCCTCGTCCAACTCCTCCCCAGACTCCCGGATTGGCCCATGTCCAATTCTGCTGCCATCTCCGCAGAAGACAACATCGAGTTACAACTGTTTGTTTAGTGACAGTTTTACAATGGCACTAGCATACGTGACTTATGACCGCTTTCACACTTATGACTGTTGCAGCTTCATCCTCATGGTCATGTGATCAAAATCCGGGCACTTGGTATCTCTTTATAATGGCTGCACTGATCCCGTCATCTAACCAACTTTTGTAACCTTCCCAGCCGACATCCGACAAGCAAAATCAATGGGAGAATCCAGATTGGCTTAAGGACCACATTTAACAACTGTGGTGATTTGCTTGATGACTGTGGCAAAAAAGTCGTAAAACAGGGCAAAATTCACTTAACCACTGCCCGGCTTGAACATTGGAAAGTTTGGGCTCAGTTGTGGTCATAAGTTAAGGAGTACCTGCAAGGCTGGGACTCTACTACTCTGACTCCTAACTACAAGAATGTTATTTATTTATTTTGTCATTTTATACAGCTTTTCTCTCAGCATTTTTCCAACTCTGCTCATTTTATTTTTGCCTGGAGGACACTCAGCTCCATTGAAATGAGCTAAAATGTGATGAAAAAGTTAAAGTGGGCTGCTATTTGAGATGAAAAGCCTGACTAAATAAGAAAGTCAACCCACACACACAACTTGTGTTCATTTTTGCCTATGTTAATCTCAAGTAAACCTTAGGAAATGACAAGAAGCCACTTGGCTTTGGCCTATCTTGAAAACTAAGTGGGATTGTCTTGGATTAATATTTGGGTAGAAATGCAGGAAGCCAAGAACTAGGTTGGAAAGTTTTTTAAAAAAAAATCATACAAGAAAATCATTTCAAATCATTTGTGTATCAAACAGAATAATACAATAACAGAGTTGGAAGGGACCTTGGAGGTCTTCTAGTCTAACCCCCTGATCAGGGAGGACACCCTATACATTTTGGATAATTGGTTGTCCAATTTCTTCTTAAAAACTTTCAGTATTGGAGCATTCACAATTTCTGGAGGCAAGTTGTTCCACTGTAAAGGAAACTGTATCGAAACATCCATGTAAATGATCAAGTGTGCATATGTTCACTCCCATTTTGGGGTATTCTCCAAAACCTTGGTGTGAATGGCTGTCCTACCTCCTCACTCACCATTCTATCAGCTTCTATCCCAGGACTCTATTGAATTCTACAGTATAGTGCAATAGTAATGCAATATCAGGGGTTTTCAATTCAATGTGTAGAATGTGTTTATTTTCATAGTCGTAATGTACACTGAAGATGGTATTTAATTTCATTGTAGAAGTGCAATGACAATAAACTAAACTAAACCCTCCTCTTCCAGTCCTTCAAGCTTTTGTCACCTGCTTTGCAGTGTCAGTGCCTGAAATTTTAGTTATTCAACCAGTGGGATTTTATTATTTTATTTATTCAACTGATAGGTTAACGTCTCTCCCAAAAGAAAGTTGTTTAGCTCAAGGTGAGTGCCTGCATAAAAAAACTCAGCAAAAAGGTTATCAGATAGAAGCCTTAGTAGGTTTAATAGAATAAGAGAATTAATAGAATATATTTAATAGAATAAGAGAATTTAATAGAATAAGAGAAGGAACCTTGGAGGCCTTCTAGTCCAACCCCAGCTCAAGCAGGACACCCCTATATCATTTCAGAGAAATGGCTGTCCAGTCTCTTCTTAAAATCCTCCAGTGTTGGAGCATCCACAACTTCTGGAGGCCAGTTGTTCCATCAGTTAATTGTTCTCACTGTCAAGGAAACTGTATTGAAATATCCATTTAAATCAGGGGTGTCCAACCTTGGCAACTTTAAGACTTGTGGACTTCAACTCCCAGAATTCCTCAGCCAGCTTGGCTGAGGAATTCT